CCTTATTTCGCCCATTAACCTTAAATACTGCGTCACGTGTCTTTATTTCTTCTGGTGGGAGGCAGGAACTTGCCACGCAACATCTGTTACTATATAGCAGTGGCGAGCAATCTGTGGACCCCCAGATGTTTAAGGGCCCCAGCTCCCACCAGTCCCAGACAGCATAGCCAATTGTCATGTAGGAGGAGATATTGGGTCCTGCAACACCCAGAGGTCCACAGGTTGTCTACCCTGGCCTAAAACTAATAGATGCAACTGCTGAATAAGTATGGTTTCGTCAAGGCCTAGGTGGAAGTTCAGCTGGGAACCTTCAGCACCTTTCAAAGACCAGAAGGCTTGTGACATTCTCTGCTGCCATGGAGGGCACAGGTAGATCTAATGGGTTGTATCCAGCATGAGTGATACCCAGAACAGACCCATTAAAATTGGGTGGGAGGCAGTAACGCTTCTGAATATCAGTTGTCCGAAGCCATCAGAGGGGAGAGTGGCTCTTGTACTTGGGTTCTGCTTGACAATTTCCCAGAGGCATTTGGGTGGCCACCGTGAGAACAGGATGTTGGACTAGATGGGTCATTGGCCTCATCCAGCATTTATGTTCTTAAATTAAGAGGCATCACTAACTAATCCATCAATGTCAGTGAGTCAACTCTGAGTAGAATTAAGCTGACTACAACCCCAGTTGCACATGGCTTCCTCTGAAGAATCCTGGCAGCGTGTTAAGTGCACAATGAGGACAGGACATAGCTCATAGTGAACCTTCTTTGCATGTAGAAGGGCCCAGGATAAATCTCTAGCATCTTCAGGTATGGCTGAAACACTGAGGAGCCACTACCAGTCAGTGTTGGTTAATACTGAGCTGAATGGAGCAATGTTCTGGCTCAATATAAGGCTGCTTCCTATGTTCCCAAATGGAGAAGATACCTGAAACAATCCAGGAAAGGAAACAGGGGGGTATTCACTCTTGCTATTTGTTAGCAATCAAGCTTAACAGAACGGATTGGATTGTGGGTCAGAATCGTAGAATGATAGAGTTGGAAGGAACCCAACGTGTCAGCATCTAATTCAACCCCATGCATTGCAGGAATCATAGCTAAAGAATCCCTGACAGATGATTGTAGCGAACTAAGTTTCATTCAGGGACGCGGGTGGTGCTGTGGGTTAAACCACAGAGCCTAGGGCTTGCCGATCAGAAGGTTGGCGGTTCGAATCCCTGTAACGGGGTGAGCTCCTGTTGCTCAGTCCCTGCTCCTGCCAACCTAGCAGTTCGAAAGCATGTCAAAGTGCAAGTAGATCAATAGGTACCGCTCCGGCGGGAAGGTAAATGACGTTTCCATGCACTGCTCTGGTTCACCAGAAGCAGCTTAGTCATGCTGGCCACGTGACCAGTGGACCTAATGGCCAGGGGTCCTTTTTAAGTTTCATTCAGCCAAGTTCTACTCCAAGTTAGGGATGCATACAAAGTCACCCTTTATGAAATCGCTTAGGAACTATTGCATGATTCGCTGTTTCATGCCCTCAATGAAGCGATTGAACATTGAAAGAGTATTTGTGAGATTCCAGAGCCCTGGACCATACTTTCCTCCGAAAATTATGCAAATATTCTAATGTCAATTCTGCTATGGTAGGCTCCCTTTATCCCTCTGAATCACTTGGCTGTTCTCACCCCTGTGGGCACACACAAGGATTCTCTCTGGTTTTCCCAGTAGTGATGTATGGAAGTGAGAGCTGGACCATCAAGAAGGCTGATCGCCAAAGAATGGATGCTTTTGAATTCTGGTGCTGGATGAGACTCTTGAGAGTCCCATGGACTGCAAGAAGATCCAACCTCTCCATTCTGAAGGAAACGAGCCCTGAGTGCTCACTGGAAGGACAGATCCTGAAGCTGAGGCTCCAAGACTTTGGCCACCTCATGAGAAGAGAAGACTCCCTGGAAAGGACCCTGATGTTGGGGAAGATGGAGGGCACAAGGAGAAGGGGACGACAGAGGATGGGATGGTGGGACAGTGTTCTTGAAGCTACCAGCATGAGTTTGACTAAACTACGGGAGGTAGTGGAAGACAGGAGTGCCTGGCGTGCTCTGGTCCAGGGGGTCATGAAGAGGCGGACACGACTAAAGGACTAAACAACAACAACAACAACACACACACACACACATTCCAGTCACATTCAGATTGCCAGTGGCTGCCTCATTACATTTCCCTTCCTTCTCATTTAAATCACTACTGGGTGTGTTTGCTCATAAATGTGAAACTCATTTATCTTTCTATCACATTTATATCCCACCTTTCCCCCCAAGCTGCTCAAGGCACTCATGGTCCCCCCCCCTTCTCATTTATGCCCCCAATGAGCCTGTAAGATAGTTTGGGCTGAGAGGCAGAGACTGGCCCCAAATTCACACCCAGTGAGCTTCATGGTTAAGCAGGGATTTGAACCCTGGTCTCCCAGTCTAACACTCTACCCATTCCACCACACTGAATATACTGAATTTAAGGACTTTAAATTACATGGCAAGTGATTGCTTTATAGGTGGGTAGTACTTCTGACAGCAATTATGAATCCTATCTCAGTGCACCGGGACAAAAGACCACCAGAATTTCTCAAGAAATGTGAAGTCGGATAAGTTCAATAATTCACAGAAACTGAACGAAGTGAGATGAGATCTCTAATTACATCACTACTGAGAATAAAACCATTGAAATGCATGAACCTAAGTTAGTCATGTCAACTAGAGTTGCACGCAACCCAATGGGTTTAAGACACCAATGGGTAGATTTCAGTTTGAACATTACAAAACACCTTCTTGATATGTGCTGATTGATAATGGGATCGCCTATCTAGAGGAGTGCTGGATTTGCCCTTGTTGAAGATCTTCAAACAGAGGCTGTGCAGCTCTAGCTAAGGATCTGTCTGCATTCAGGAGAGGTTTAAAGACTATGACCTACAAGGACCTCTCCAACTTACTGATTCTACATAAGCCACTTTGAGGTCCATGCTGGAAAAAAGTGGAATATAAATCTTGTAAATTCTAAATGGTACTGTAGACTTAGAATTGCATCCAGTGTTAGTCACACGCATAGTAGATCCCTGGATCTACTATGGCCATAGCTCAGCGGTAGAGCATGTGTCTTGCATGCAGAAGGTCTCAGGTTCAATCCCCAGCATCTCTAGATAGGGCTGGGAATGCCTGCTCTCTGAAATGATGGAGAGACACAGCTAGAGAATATTGAGCTAGATGGACCATTGATCTGATTTGGTTTCAGACAGATTCCTATGTTCCTATATAGATATTCAATCTAACTTACATCTTCTCTTGTACATTAATGGATGTATAGCTTTTATTGTGAAATCTGTTAACTAGGTCAATGGTTGGTTGGTAGACTCATAGGTTGTTCTGAGGAAGCTGTCACCAGCTTACTAGGCTAACTGCCTAGTGAAATCAGAGACGCCGAGAATGTCTTTCAGTTCTTTTATTTAAATCAACAGAAATACATGGAGACCATGGAATGTGCTCCCTCAACCTTGAACTGCTGCTCAGAATGCCTGCTCCCCATCCCCAGCAGGTACTTCCTATCTCTCAGACCCCTCCTGCTGTCTGTGGTGGCCATGAAGGGAATCCCTCTGTCTCTGTTTGGCTTTCTGCTGTGTGACATGCAGGAAACGCCTGGTTCTAGGGTAAGGAGTGGGGTCTAGCACAATGTCCAGAGACAGCATGTGATTTGGCTTCTGTACTGTTTCTAACACATCTGACTCCTGTCTCTGTTCAGGGCTAGTGCACCTGCTACCCCTTCTCCTGTTCTTCACCATACTTTATTTCCCAGCTCCTTTCTTCTTCTGAGGTGTGACCTGTCTCAGACCACCACAATCCTGGATCCATACTCCCTTCCTCTTCCCCTTGTCTGGAAGCTTCTTGGGGTGGCAGTCTCCACCAGTCCTCCTCATCCACCAGTCCTTGACACAGGTGGGATTCTTGCTGGGTCTGCGCCTGCCATGTTTTAAGCTGTCATTCAATGGTCTCCCTCAGGAGGTTGTGGACTCTCCTTCCTTGGAGGTTTTTAAGCAGAGGTTGGATGGACATCTGCCATGAATGCTTTGGTTGAGCTTCCTGCACTGCGGGTGGTTGGACAAGATGACCCTTCCAACTCTACAAGTCTGTGATGTAAATGGGATCAGAAGTCATAATGATAGAATCCAGCAGGGCCATCTAACGAAGATGAAAGTTGGAAGATACAGAGAAAACACGAGAAACACAGCTCATAAGGAATTTGGTTCCACATGAGGCAGCGATGGCCACCAACCTGGATTGCTTTAAAAGAGATTCGACAAATCCATGGAAGCTAAGGCTACTGGTCATGATGACTAGATTCTACCTCCACGGTTGGAGGCAATATGCCCCTGAATGCTAGTTTCTGGGGTTCACAGTTGGGGAGAACACTGTTGCTTGTGGGCTTCCCATGGACATCTGGTTGGTCACTGTGAGAAACAGGATGTTGGACAAACTAGGCGTTTGATCTGATTCATCAGAGTTCCATTATGGAATCCCAGAAAAGATGTTTGTCTTGAGTTTCACATAACAGACAACCCATTTGTGCTGTCGTGCAAAAAAATATGCACACTCCAAATCCAGGATGCGGACAATGGTTTTGGTTCCCAGAAGATGTGGGCCGCATAGCCAGTTTGACTTGTAACCTTTTGCCAAAGGCCAGGATGGATGCCGCACTTTTACGGGAACATCCAAACCTTGATCATTTAAAAACAGAGAGATAAGCATGGTATAATAGAGGGAAAGAAATAGGTTAGGGTGGAACTAAAATGAGCAAAGGTGGCAAAAACAAAAATCCCCACCGCATAATAATTTGTAACGTACCATTATTTAATGCATAGGGGTTTAAGATGAAACATGCAGATAACAATTTCAGGAAACGACTAGTCGTGAAATAATTAAATCCTCAGGCACAGATCATGTATCACACCCATTAGAATTCCTCTGGAAGGATATAAAAGGCAGCATGACATGTTCAACAGCATCCCTGAGCTCTCCACCACTTCTCTTCATTTCAGCACTCTCAAGATTCAGGTAAGTCCATTCACATTCTTTCTATCAGTGCCTGTGATACATTCTTTGTTCTATGAACTGGGTTCTGTTCTCTGAAGGTCAAAGCAGTCCATCCAGGGCTGGGGAAACCTGCGGCCCTCCGAATGTCAGGGGCATAGAAAGCTGCCTTATACTGAGTGAGACCATCTATTTTGATACCATCTGCACTGTCAGTGGCTAGCCAGGATTTCAGGCAAGGGTCTTTTTGTGGGGCAAACCCAGCCTTGTATAATCAACATGCTCAACTCTAATTAATGCATGAAGGGGTTAAGGCCATAGAGTAAGCTGTCCTGCCAGGCTGAGCTAGGTCACACCCCCCCCATCTTGGAAGGAAAGTCTCTTTGTTCTGGGCACACAGCTCAAACGGCGTGCCTTTAGCAAGTCATCTTTGTGTTTCTATACAAATAATTTAGAAACTTTTACCATTTTTGAAACTAAGTTGCACTGCCTGCAATTTTTTTGCTGCTGTATGGAAAAGCACAGCTCTGACCTTTTGAAGAGTTTGTAAGTAAAGCATTTTAAACTTACAAAACATGTGGTCTCTTTCTATATTAAGGGAAGTGAAATTTTTTTGGAAAGAACTTAGAAGGGGATATTTTAAAGGTCTAACAGCCTTTATTTCCACGCTTTACTTTGCTGCATGTTTTCTGATTTTAAATCTCTGCTGGGGCTCTCTCACCAAATAGTACCTGTCCCTAAACCTGGAACTGAGTATGCAGGGAATTCTCATTCTATTCTTTACCCAAATTTACTGCTTTTCTTATATACTTGTTGTTATTTACTGTGCCATTTTAAACTGTTTTTAGCTTATTTATTATATTGCGAGCATTGCCTTGTGACATATATGTGGAAGGTGATCTTGTTGTTGCGGTTTATTTTAATGAATGCATTTGCCCCCAATTCTTGTCTATTTCATTGTACATTAGATCTACTGGGTTGTTGCCAATGTTAATTCCACTCAGAGTAGTCCGACGGAAATTAATGACCATATTAGGAGTACGGAGAGCTAAAGAAAAGAAATTAATCAACACAACTAACTTAGATGCAGTAATTTCAATGGCTCTGCTCTGAGTAGAATTCCGTTGGATACGGACTATTGCAGTTCATATTGGGAGCTTTGTTTAGGGGGTGGAAAACAATTACCACACATACACAAAACAATCAGCGGTGACTTGATCCATCATCAGCTTCAAGCATTTTGCCTCCTTTCCCCCCAAGGACCACCAAATTTGGTAACAGAGGCAAAAATAAAACCAATTTCAAGCAGAAACAGAGTTGGTGTTGGACAAAACCAAATGCCCTGATGAGGATAGAGTCCTCAAATACTTGATGAGGAACAAGGGATGGTTAATGTTGTCCTTGGGGAAAGAAGGAAGGTGTGTGCATGCAGAAACTAGCTGTTGAAGAAAAAAATCCCTCAATTTAGGGATAGAAATCTGTCAGTACCACTTTATTTCAAAGCAATATTGCTAAGGATATAGACCACCCAAGAGCGCTCCCACAGCACTCTGCCCTGGGCAGATTTCAGACAAGCATAGCTTGTACTCTGCATTCCATGAGCATATTTCTAGATAAGGAATTAACCAGTGGCATTTCCTAGAGAGAGAAAACAAGCAGCTGTCAGCAACACAGGTTTATCAGAACTTCTTATTCTTCTTGTCGTATACACATTTAACCATCTCCCTCCCATAGTCACTTGTGAGTATTTCAAGTTAGATTTGAGGTCTTGGAGGCTTTCGTAATAATAATAATAATAATAATAATAATTTATTATTTATATCCTGCCCATCTGGCTGGGTCTCCCCAGCCACCCTGGGTGGCTTCCAACAAAATATTAAAATACAGTGGTCTGTTAAACATTAAAAGCTTCCCTAGACAGGGCTACCTTCAGATGTCTTCTAAAAGACAGATCATTGTTTATTTCCTTGACATCTGGTGGGAGGGCATTCCACAGGGCGGGCGCCACCACTGAGAAGGCCCTATGCCTGGTTCCCTGTAACTTCGCTTCTCGCAGGGAGGGAACCTCCAGAAGGCCCTCGGATCTGGACCTCAGTGTCCGGGCAGAACGATGGGGGTGGAGACACTACTTCAGGTCTACTGGACCGAGGTCATTTAGGGCTTTAAAGGTCAGCACCAACACTTTGAATTGTGCTAAGAAACGTACTGGGAACCAATGCAGATCTTTCAAGAAGCTTTAGCTTCTATGCAAAAATCTCTACCTGCAAAAAATGTAAGGATTACAATTTCAATTCAGTACAAGAAAGTACTTGTTGAAGGAGCCCATAGTTAAACTATGGAACTCACTCCGACAAGAGGCAATGGTGACCACTGACCTAGATAACCTTAAAATAGGATTAGACAAATCCTCTTTTACGGCTTTTTGATGATTACAAGCCATGATAGCTATGATCTGCCTTCAATGTTGGAGGCAGCAAAGCTTCTAGATGCCAGTTGCTAGAAACCAGGAGAGAGGAGAGGGCTGCTCCCTGCTGGTTTCCTACAGAGGCATTTGAGTGGAAAAGTGAGGGCAGGATTCTGGACTAGTTGGGCCATTGGCCTAATCCAGCAGGCTCTTCTCATGTTCTTATAACTGAGTCCCCACCTCCAATCAGCTTTTCTTTCAACCCAAATCACTGATCAGAGATCCATCAGTTCAAGAATCCCAGAACCATACAATCCATCTTCATAGTGTACCACCTTGGGTGGCAGGAAGGTGAGTAACTCAGCTTTATAATTAAATAATAATAATACTTTAATAATAATAATTTATTATTTATACTCCGCCCATCTGGCTGGGTTTCCCCAGCCACTCTGGGAGGCTTCCAACAGAATATTAAAATACAGTAGTCCATCCAGCATTAAAAGCTTCCCTAAATAGGGCTGCCTTCAGATGTCTTCTAAAGGTCTGGTAGTTGTTTTTCTCTTGGACATCTAATAGTAATAATTTAAATGAGTAAATATCCATGTTTGCCATATATAGACTGACTCTAAATTATGTCTTGATTCCCCAAATGGGCACCTGCTTAATATGGGCCTTTCTCAACATGTCCTTTCAGATTCACCTCCCGTGCCAAAACATGTCTTGCTGCATCCCATCTTGTGGCCCATCCTGCGCCATCCCGTCTTGCGCCTCAAAACCTGTCATTGGTCTCGGACGGTGTGGTGTCGGCTCTGGATATGGGGGCATTGGCTATGGAAGCCTTGGAGGCGGTGGCGCAGTCTCAGCCAGCAGCCTCGGGGTGCTGTCTGGAGTCCACCCCTCGTGCGTCAACCAAATCCCACCATCTGAAGTGGTGATCCAACCACCTCAGGTCGTTCTGACCATCCCTGGACCCATCCTGTCTGCCAGCTGTGAGCCCTTGGCAGTCGGAGGCTACTCACCATGTGCTTCTGGAGGTTATGGAGGTTACGGAGGTTACGGATAGGTTATGGAGGGGGCTATGGACGCCTTGGGAAGCATCTGTGGACCAAGACATAGACAAAGCATCTGCAAGTACCCCTGCTAAACCCAAGCTCAGCCATGATGGTCTGAACAACCAGGAACTGTCAAGACAAAGAAGAATCCATGCCTGAATCCATAGTGTTTCAGGTGTTGTGCATACCTGGCTGAGGTTCAAGGTGTTCTTCACCTGTGAGAACCAAGCCCAGGTATCTGTCTCTTGCTCTCTGCTGTTTCATCCTGTAACACAGGGGTGGATAACCTTGCTGCTTCTTTCAGTGTGGGGGCTGCATTCAGGGTGGGAGGGCTCCATGCCCTTGGTGGTTGTGGCAACACCCCTGCTTACACATAGACACATTCATTGACACACACAGGATACAAACATACACAGGACACACAAACATGGGGCACACAGAGTGACCTAGCTCCAGCGTCCAAATGTTTGTGTTTGCTGTCACCACCCAAATTGGTGGAATCCTGGGGACAGGGGTTCTAGCTCGTCCTTGAACAGGTATCTGCCACCCCTGCTAGAATATGTTTGTACAACTTGTTTGCACTCGCTAGAGCCAGAGGATCAAAGCACAGCACATCAATTTATTTCTCCTTCTGCTTGATCACTGTTCTTGCTCTTGTTGTATAAATTACTGTTGGAACATGTATCCTTTTGATTTCCCTATTTACTATTAAAGCTTTTGCAGCATCATAATAATCACTCCTGTATCTTTTTTTTTAAAAAAGAACAATGATTCACTCAACTCCACCAAAAACAACAATGGGGTAGAGGGAAGAGTAGGAGAGAAACAAAGAAAATCAGGTGTCTGGTCCACAATGTGGGATTTCAAAATAGAAGTGTCCCATTGCCACAAAGGAGTGCAGAAATACCCAATTCTGCCAAGGTTCACGTGGAAAGGTTCTAAAGCCATAGAGCTTCCTTGGATTGGAGCAACCCATAGTGGAGTTCATAAATCCTGGCAAAGGGTCGACACATGCAGTGGGCCTCCTCATTCACCAGGAAGAATGATCCAATACCTCTGTTACTCAAACTGTGAGCAGTGCCCTGTCAAGTAGATCTGCCCCAAATCGCAAGGCTCACATGAAGAGCAGTGGCCAAATAGAAGGTAGAGAACCACAAATACTATTGACCGACCCAATCTGATGCTTCCAAACATGCTTGCAGATCAGAATGCAACTCCTAGTCAGCGTGCACATCCTTTGGCTTCTGCAACACAGAAAGTGCTCACAAATTGCATATAGTTTGGTAAATATGGAAAGAAAGTAGGTATTTTACCATATGAAGTATAGTGAAAAGATTTGGAGATGTTTATGTTATGCAAAAGGTGGTACCCCAGTCAGTGTGGTGTAGTGGTTAAGTGTGTTGGACTCGTAATCTGGTGAACTGGGTTTGCTTCTCCGCTCCTCCACCTGCAGCTGCTGGGTGACCTTGGGCTACTCACACTTCTCTGAAGTCTCTCAGCCTCCAGCCTCGCTCACCTCACAGAGTGTTTGTTGTGGGGGAGGAAGGGAAAGGAGAATGTTAGCCACTTTGAGACTCCCTAGGGTGGTGATAAAGTGGGATATCAAATCCAAACTCTTCTTCTTCTTCATGCTTTTTAATTGTGGAGTTTCTGTACATTCTTTCAAAAACTCCACAGGAAAAGCTGGACCAATAACTGGAGTGCCAGTAAAACTGAAACAGAACAATTAAAGGCAGTTGAGACCATCCCTACCCATGAGCCTTGTTCCACTTCCCTCTTGCATGTGGGTGTTGCTAAACTTCTCTGCATGAGGCGTGGCACTCACCCACTGAAGACGGAAAACAGAAGGAATTATAATGATAGTTAAACTAGGAAATTCAACCCCATGAACAGCATTGATGGCCACCAACCTGGATGGCTATAAAAGAAGATTAGATGTCTAATAGGCATGATCACTATGATCTGCATCCATTGGAGGCCATGTGGATTCATAGAACCAAAGAACTGTAGAGTTGGAAGGGACCCTGAAGACATCTAGCCCAGCTCTCTGAAAAGCAGGAATATGCAGCTGTCCCATAAGGGGATTGAACCTGCAACTCACCAGCTCCATGCTCAGACCAGCTGAACTATCCAAGTTGTCAGCAATTGTGAATGAGGAGAGTGCTGTTGAGCTCAGATCTTGTTTGCAGCTCTTCCATTGAGGCATCTAGAGGCTACAGTCCATGTGCTTCTGGATATTCTGGCTACGGAGTGGGGTCTTATGGAGGGTACCTTGGTGGGAGCTACAAAAGCATTTGCCAGCCAAAACAGGTTCAGCATCTGCGGTCTCTTTGTTAAGCCCGGAAAGACTAGACCAAGCCATGTTTTGACAATCATGATATGAACACCTGATGGAGCTTACGGACCTGTCCTTCAGAAATGCTGAGCACCTGAGCTTCTGACTGAAGACTGTCAAAGCTGAGGGTCCTCAACACCAGTGAAGACCTGATGGATCTATGATTTACTCTATGTCAAGTTTAGCCAACAGGGTGGACTACAGCTCCCATCACCCCTGAGCACTGGCCCTGCTGGCTTGGACTGATGGGAACTGTAATCCAACAATATTTGGAGGGGAGGAAGAATGACCTTGGCCATTCATATCCTACGGAGCGGGGTCTTACGGATGGTACCTTGGTGGGAGCTACAAAAGCATCTGCCAGTCAAAACAAAAACCTGGTTGGCTTCTGTGATGGGTCACTGGTTTGATCCAGCCGACTCTTTACTGTTAAGGGATGCGGGTGGCGCTGTGGGTAAAAGCCTCAGCGCCTAGGGCTTGCCGATCGAAAGGTCGGCGGTTCGAATCCCCGCGGCGGGGTGCGCTCCCGCTGCTCAGTTCCAGCGCCTGCCAACCTAGCAGTTCGAAAGCACCCCCGGGTGCAAGTAGATAAATAGGGACCGCTTACTGGCGGGAAGGTAAACGGCGTTTCCGTGTGCTGCGCTGGCTCACCAGATGCAGCTTTGTCACGCTGGCCACGTGACCCGGAAGTGTCTGCGGACAGCGCTGGCCCCCGGCCTCTTAAGTGAGATGGGCGCACAACCCTAGAGTCTGTCAAGACTGGCCCGTACGGGCAGGGGTACCTTTACCTTTACCTTTACCTCTACTGTTGGAAAGCAGTATCTCTCTGAATAACAATTTCTGGGGAATATGCAAAGAAATATTTGCTGCTGCGTTCAGGTCCTACTTGTGGGCTCTGCATTGGCATCTGAGTGGCCACTGTGAAAACAGGAAACTGGACTGGAAAGGCCATTGGCCTGATGCAGCGACAGAGCATTTCCTATGTTCCTATTATAGCTAAGTTCAACTGTCACTCTCAGAAGCAGTGGCCAATCAGAGTTGGCAGTACTGGACTGGATGGACCAATCACCAGTCAAAGGCAGCTTCCTATATTCTTGCTTCAAGAGCTCACAGTTTAGGAGTAGAACCCTTTTTTTGCATGTAGGTGATCTCTGGTCCAACCCCTGGGATCTCTGGTTCAAAAAAAGAAAAAGAAGAAGAAAAGGATTTTAGGTAATGGGAAAGAAAAAGAGACCCAGTCCAATTAAGCAGAACTGGACTAGAATGGCTCTGACCTGGAATTATTAAATTCTAGTTCTGAGTTCTATAAACTGGAAGCTGAGACAGTTAAGATGAAAGGCTTGTTCACATGTTACATTGAACACAGATACAAGCTGACTCTACATGTGTACAATAGTGTGAAAGAGTGTAACTTGTTGAACAGCTCAATTAATTGTGTGTGCAGAGACTGTGCACCTATTGCACATTGCATGTGAATAACCTATGAATGTACAGCTCATCTTGGTGCTTACTTGTTTAGTCGTTTAGTCATGTTCATGACCCCATGGACCAGAGCACGTCTTCCACTGCCTCCCGCAGCTTGGTCAAACTCATGTTCGCAGCATACAGAGGTACACAAATTGTACACTTGTTGGAGGTTACATGTGAGTAACATAGAAGGGTGAAACTCAACTAGCTGTGTACAGAGGTACACTAGTTGAACGCAACCAGCATTGTTTATCTTTCTATAAACCAGTCTGAGGTGGTGGTGGTGTCGTTTTTGCAATCAAACGTTCTACACATTTTATTCAATAAAATAATAAATAAGATAATAGCAGACAGGTGTACAGCTCACCTAGTTGGGTACAGAGGTTCACAGCCCTCGCTGAATGCAAAGTGTAACTACTAAGATGTAAAACCTATACTCAAGTATAGTAAGTGTTCCTCAAGTTGAATGTGCACCTTCTGCTCCAGGTGAGATGCCTCTGTTGTTCCAGGGAAGCAGCCGAGCAAGTTTAAGGATATGTGGGCTGTGAAGAATAGCTTGTGTGGGCTGGAGGAGCACTTTGTTTAACTTGAGTGAATTAAGGGAAAAAAGAACTGTCTTTCTTGAAAGTCTGTTGAAGGATTTAATGATCTGGAAAGGTAATGTGTAACATGCTCAGGGATTAGGACGTGGGAAGAGGAGAAGGGGAGAAATGGAATCCAGAGTCCTCTTCAGGCAACTGTGAGGATAGGAATGTGGAACATGGGCCTTTTCATTGGCTAATGGTAGAGACATGCAGTACTGGATTGGCCAGGGCTGGTGCAAGCAAATATTAGGAGTCTCTGGTTTTTTTTACTTGCCTGATCTAGAAGGCAGAAACTCCACCCATCTCCAGCCCTTGGTTGCAGTGACCTTATAAGGATATTCAGTTAATGGAGGGGTTTTGTGCTACTTGCCAATCCTAGGGGGTTGATGTTGAGCATCACCACAATGCTTGTAGAGCCAGGAGAGTCTTCAGGAGGCTCAGATTCTAACTCCATTTTTTCCTTATACCGGCAGCTCGTTCCTTCAAGGGCTTGACTACTGCAATTCATTCTAAGTGGGGACAACCCCTGGAGGCTACACGGAACTTTAAAATTACAGTACCTAAACCTTGGGTGGTGCTGTGGGTTCAACCACAGAGCTTAGGACTTGCTGATCAGAAGGTCAGCAGTTTGAATCCCCGTGATGGGGTGAGCTCCAGTTGCTCTGTCCCAGCTACTGCCAACCTAGCAGTTCGAAAGCACACCAGTGCAAGTAGATAAATAGGTACCGTTCTAGCGGGAAGGTAAACGGCATTTCCGTGCACTGCTCTGGTTCACCAGAAGTGGCTTAGTCATGCTGGCCACATGACCCGGAAGCTGTACGCTGGCTCTCTTGGCCAGTAAAGCGAGATGAGCACCATAACCCCAGAGTTGGTCACGACTGGACCTAATGGTCAGGGGTCCCTTTACCTTTACCTTAAACCACACACCCCACCCCCCAGGAAAGAGAAAGCATTCCAGGACAACAAAGACTGTGCTGCAACAAAAGCTTTAATGGAGCAGGGGAAAGAGCAATACGGGGAGAGGAGATGTTTGTATTACAACAGCATCAAATATAGTTTTACATGACACAACTAGCATGTGGTGAAGTACATTCTGTCCTGCCTTCCTTTGGGGAAGGTTTCCTGCACATAGCACAAAAAAGCAAGCAGAGGGGGTGGAAAATAAATACCAGAGACAATGCAACATATCTCAGTAAAAGTGCAATGTGTGAATGTCATGGTACAGATTTCAGAGGCAGGGAGCAACTCAAGGCTTCTGCTTGAAACTGCAGCAGCTCAGCACTTGTGAAAGCTCAGGTCCTTAAATTCAGTTGCCGGTTTCGGTCACGGTTGTCAGATTCCCAGGTTGCCCCAGATCCCAATGGATAATCTATTTGATCTTAGCAGGGATACCCGCAGATGCTTTGCCTGCGCTTTGACCCATAGCAGGATTTGCCCAGGTACCCACCTACAGAGCCCCCCAGTCCGTAGCGGGAAGAACCGTAGCCGTAGCCTCCGGAACCACCATAGCCGCCATAGCCACCGCCATACCCATAGCCGCTAGCACATGGGGAATAGCCTCCGATGGCCAACGGCTGGCAGCTGGAGGACAGGATGGGTCCTGGGATGGTCACCACAATTGGAGGTGGCTGGACCGTCACTTCGGACGGTGGGATCTGGCTCATACAGGACTGGGGGACACCGGGGACGACGCCAAGGCTGCCGGATGACATAGCGCCACCGCCGCCATAGCTGACGATGCCACCGCTGATGCCACCACCAACGCCACCGCCGATGCTACCGATGCCACCGCCGAAGCCACCGCCGATGCTACCGCCGATGCCACATTGTCCAATACCATGGGAAGGCCTGCTACATGGGATGGAGCACGATGACTGAGAGAAGAAAGACATGTCTGAAGAATATAGGTGAGCCTGGGGAACAACAGCAAGGAGAAAAGCAATTCATTAATTCGGAAGGAGGTGCAGAAAGGCCACGTAGCGTGGAGCAGGGCCGGTTGAATCCACCACTTTTAAGTTTCTCACTTTCCCAATATAAATTCTAGTCCTCCCCAATTTTGCTGAAAGTTGTAGGTTATTTATTTATTTATTTATTTATTTATTTATTTATTTATGGCTGGCAAATCTTTAGCCTGACCCAACAAGGCAATTATTATGTTATCCACTCTTCTAGTATGGAAATTACATCCTACATTAACTATGACAATTTATCTCTACACAGCGATGTTATCTCGGAAAAATAAACAAGAGCATTAAAAAAAAAATTGTTTTAATCATCAAAGCAACAATCTTTGGTTTCGAAAGCTTAGGAGGTGAGCCAGAATAGTTAATGAGTAAGCACACACAATCTTAATTGTGAGACCTCAAGGGCAAAATTCTTAACTGATGTAAAACAACAGGCTGGTATGGAACATCTATTCACTGACACCAGGCGTGGCTTTGAGCTTCTTTGTCAAGAGATGGTAACACAGGAGCAAATTAACTCTCTCTCTCTCTCTCTCTCTCTCTCTCTCACACACACACACACACACACACACACACGAGAGAGAGAGAGAGAGAGAGAGAGAGAGAGAGAGATCGTTCAAGTTAAAGCTCCTCACTAGGCCAGATTTAATTTTTGAATAAAGTTTTGTTGTTGTTCATCTCCAACCCACAAGAAATCTACAAACCTCACAATAAAAAAGCAACAAATCACAACCACCTGATTGTTATTTTTTAAAAAAATTAAAACAATTTGGGATTCTTGTTATGGAGATAAGGAATGAGTTATGCCCATTGAGTCTCCCCTGAGTAGTATTAATATTGCATATAGCCCACTGGGTCTATCTTAGCATGGTTTCTTCTGGTTGATTGACTATGTTCCAAGGGCTCGGCTTCTGTCATCTGAGATCTCTTTGAACTGGGGTGGGGTGAGTGGATTTCCTCTGGGACCTTCAACAGGCTCTATCACTCGCCTAAAAGCTATCCCTTAACTTACTGGACTGCATGCATGGAGAACTTGTGGCCCTCCATATGTTGGTCTCTGACTCCCATCCTTCCTGTCAATTGTCCATATGTTGGCTGGGGGCTGTTTGGAGTTCTCTATATCATCTATGTATCTAGCATCTATCTATCTATATTCTGAACTGAGCAAAGCTATCTTTCCCTCTCTCATAATTCTTTGCAGGTTCTCACTCCATCAGGAACCTTCAAATCCTTCTCAGAACTTCACTTCAAGCAACATTCAGTGGCAGCTTAAGAACCTAAGAAGAACTCTGCTGATGGATCAGGCCAAAGGCCCATCTAGTCCAGCTTCCTGTCCTCACATTGACCACCCAGAATGCAACCACCCAGAAAGCAACCGCCCTCTCCCCACTCACGGTCCCCAGAAATGGCTTTTCAGAGGCATATTGCCACCAACCGTAGAGGTAGAACATTGCCATCATGGCTGGTAGCTGCTGATAGCTACATTCTCCATGGATTTACCTAATCCAAAAAGAACATAAGGACAGCCCTGGTGGATCAGGCCAAAAGTGGCCCATCTAGCCTGGCATCCTGTTCTCACAGTGGCCAACCAAGGTCCCAGGGAGAAGTCCACAAGCAGCACCTGTGTGCAAGAGCAGTTCTCCCCACTTGCCTTTCCCAGCACTCAGAGTCTTGCTTCCTCTGAGGCAGAACTTGAGAGAGACAGAGAGAGTCAGACGGGGAGACTCTCAAGAATGTTCCTCTTACCCGGTTCTCTAGAGTGCAGAAATGAAGAGATGCGCTTGAGAGTTGCTGCTGAAGAGACTGTGGAGGAGCCTGGCCTTTTATACCTTTTTTCCAAGGCGCAGGCCACAGGATGAGAGGCGTACCGCCTTCCACTTTGAGATTTAATTATTTCTCAACAAGCATTTGATCTATTATCTCTATCTTTGCCCCAATTAATTGGACATATTTATTTTTTGCTTATTATGAAGTATGAGTCGTTCGCCTTTCTGGTATATCATAATCTCTCTCACTCGCTCTTCTTAAACTCCACCCTACATTTTATTTGTCATTTGCCCTTGGTAAAATTCCCATGACTAAAAAACAAAACAAAAACCCTAGTACATAGGGCAGCAGTGTAACCCCACCCTTGTTGAGAGAGAGGCAAGTTGAATCAACTTGGTGGCATCTATCTGAACTGGATCTAAAACACATATCCAAGCGGGAATGTCAACACCAGATTATGTCTTAGGCAACCATTTCTTCATTGGGCTAACTTCATATTCAGCAGGAAAGTGATGGGCAATAGGAGTTTCCCCACCTTCCAGACCCATCACTAGCAGAGGAGAGATGGGGAAGAAATTAGATTCATCTCTCAGTTACAGTGGTACCTCGGGTTACATACGCTTCAGGTTACATACGCTTCAGGTTACAGACTCCGCTAACCCAGAAATAGTGCTTCAGGTTAAGAACTTTGTTTCAGGATGAGAACAGAAATCGTGCTCCGGTGGCGCGGCAGCAGCAGGAGGCCCCATTAGCTAAAGGGGTGCTTCAGGTTAAGAACAGTTTCAGGTTAAGTACAGACCTCCGGAATGAATTAAGTATTTAACCCAAGGTACCACTGTAACGGTAAACCAACCTAATCCACACTTTCCAAAAACAGTGTATGAAGCAAAACACAGATGTCCTTTGAAAGAGTCATTGACTGTTAACAATGAAGATTTGATTCCAATTAGAAACTTGCATTTCTTTATGTTTTGCAATGCAAGTCCACAGCCAAGTAATGTGTACCAAAATGCATATATCTGCAGAAAGTGTGAAAATAGGAAGCACGGATCAGTGGAGTGAGTGTACAAAAATGCACTATGGCTGAGAAATTCGCTTTGCAAATAATATATAGATATTAGGGGAAAGTGTGTCCAATCAACGTGTATATTATGAGAAATGTGCAGAAAAAAATATTGCTGATGAACTTTCATGAGAACTTTTAAAAGGAAAAATAATAATTGCAAACCAATGCAGAAATGTGGAGAATTGAACTTAAGGCTAGGAAAGATGAAAAATGAAGAGAAAGCAAAATTGACTGATTTGCCCATCCCTAAAGCAGCTCCTTGGGCAGAGCAGCTGTTACTAGCAACAAAACTGCCAACAAAGTTAAGGTGCAATCTTAAGTATGGAAAGCCAATTTAATTTACACTGGTTTAAGCTGAGCTGCTACAAAGTATGCTAGATACAAACTTCATTTAGGAATGGGGATATTGCTGACTGAGCTGGCCTAAGCCTGGCAGAGGGGAAGCAAGCCTTCAAAATAGAGTATGGCTCACACCACCATTTTTGCCATGTATGTTGGAATTCGAGTCCAGTTACAGTTGTCAAGATACAGTGCTGTTCATACCACTTGGGTTACAGACCCGGGCAAAAGTATTATCAAAGCACTTCTGACTCCCATACTGCAGATTGCTCACCTATATCTTAGGAAAGTCTTCCCTTATCTGGACTTTAGATGTTGTTGAACTCACAATGCCCATCAGCCTTCACTGGGATGGTCAATGGTGATGGAAAGGTGTGGTCCAGTAACATTTGAAGGATCACAGTTTCCCCATCCCTAACATGGCCAATATGGAAGAAGACAGGCCAGTGTTCTGGTGTGATAAAAGACACCTTCTTTTGCTTAAGAATAGGAAGATATATAAATTCAATAAATGAAAATGGAATGAGATAGCTAAGTGGTAGAGAAAGAGCTTTGTACTCAGTCGTCCTTGATTTCAATCCCCAGCACCTCTGGGTAGGTGCTGGAATGACCCCTTCTCAAAACCTTGGAGACCCTCTGCCAGTCAGTGTATACGAAGGTAGATCTGACTTGTCATTAGGTTTCTGTTGAAACCAGCCCTAGGTAAGCAGGAGAACAGCCACAGCCAATATCATCAGTGGTCAGGGAGACTGTGAGTTGTAGACTGTGGAAGGCATCAAGCTGGGGAAGGTCAGTCTAGAGTGGGAAGCCTTTGACCCTCCAGATGTTTTTGGAGTCCACCATCCTTGACGATTGGCCATGCTGATCAGCTGAGCCTGACAGAGTCTAACAACACCTGGAAGGTCATGAGGATCTCCCTTGAGCAGGGGAACAACCATCACTCAGTGACAGAACACCTCTTTGGCATGCAGGATGTCCCAAATTCAACCACCAGCACCTCCAGCTAGGGCAAAGGTAAACTCCCTGCCTGAAACCTCGGAGAGCCACTGCGTATCAGTGTGGACATTGCTGAGCAAGATAGAGCAATGATGCGCTATTGGGCCTTTGGTCAATGATCAGAGAGAGTAGGACTCTAACAGAGCTGGAAGGGCACCAAGGTGGCAACCACTGAACTATTTATATATTTTTTAGAATATGAGAAGGGAAACTGAGCAAGGGCACTGTCAAATAACTGGCTCATTGTAAAAGCATTGCCAAGGTTTCGAATATCCATGCCATAGCCTCCCCATAGGTAAGCATGGCTGGCTGGAGGTCTCACACTGACATCTTGTGTGTTTACATAGTTGATATTAGGGAGCTATACCTTGTCAAAATGATCGTGTTTAAGTTGTCCACTAACAACCCTTCTGTGTCGGTTTAAATCAGGCATAGGCAAACTTGGCCCTCCAGATGTTTTGGGGCTACAATTCCCATCATCCCTGACCACTGGTCCTGTTATCTAGGGGAAATTGGAGTTGTAGTCCCAAAAACATCTGGAGGGCCAAGTTTGCCTTTGCCTGGTTTAAATGCCTGGAAAGAGTCAGATCCCAACTGTTCCCTTGTCATCCTTTCAGAGATGGACCTTTGGGGCTCTTTCCAATGGAAGGTGATATCTAAGTGAGCAGTGGTAAACAGCATGGCAGTTAGGTCTAAAAGGGTCAGAGAAGGACATGGTTTCAACGACTGACCTATAATATTAGTAACAACTTTTTTAAAA